ATTTTTTCTGACAACTTTTAATGCAAATATAAAAACCTTAAAGTGAGTTTGATAGTGATATCTATTCCTTAACATGTACTCTTTTCTTCATTAATAAAAGGCAGATATTTTGCTTCTCAGACAAACCTAATTAAACATAGATTTGATGTCCTGTCTAAAATTCACATTTAATTTCACATTTATCAGCATATTTAATAAACGTTTTGTTTCTAAAACCAAGCCCAGCTTTAGCAGACCTGAAATCTGAGAGGGATATCAAAAATAAATGCACTAATAAGTAACAAATATTTTGATTTGGAGTTTTTTGCAGTAAACTGAGTATATTTTGCTGTACAGTGAGTATATTTTGTAGTACAATGAGTATATTTTGCTGTACAGAGGGTATATTTTGCAGTAGTGAGTATATTGGGCTGTACAGTGAGTATATTTTGCAGTAGAGTGAGTATATATTGCAGTACAGTGAGTATATTGGGCTGTATAGTGAGTATATTTTGCAGTAGAGTGAGTATATTGGGCTGTATAGTGAGTATATTTTGCAGTAGAGTGAGTATATTTTGCAGTACAGTGAGTATATTGGGCTGTATAGTGAGTATATTTTGCAGTACAATGAGTATATTTTGCAGTACAATGAGTATATTGGGCTGTATAGTGAGTATTCTTTGCAGTAGAGTGAGTATATTTTGCAGTACAGTGAGTATATTGGGCTGTATAGTGAGTATATTTTGCAGTACAATGAGTATATTTTGCAGTACAATGAGTATATTGGGCTGTATAGTGAGTATTCTTTGCAGTAGAGTGAGTATATTTTGCAGTACAGTGAGTATATTGGGCTGTATAGTGAGTATATTTTGCAGTAGAGTGAGTATATATTGCAGTAGAGTGAGTATATTGGGCTGTATAGTGAGTATATTTTGCAGTAGAGTGAGTATATTTTGCAGTAGAGTGAGTATATTGGGCTGTATAGTGAGTATATTTTGCAGTAGAGTGAGTATATTGGGCTGTATAGTGAGTATATTTTGCAGTAGAGTGAGTATATTTTGCAGTACAGTGAGTATATTGGGCTGTATAGTGAGTATATTTTGCAGTACAATGAGTATATTTTGCAGTACAATGAGTATATTGGGCTGTATAGTGAGTATTCTTTGCAGTAGAGTGAGTATATTTTGCAGTACAGTGAGTATATTGGGCTGTATAGTGAGTATATTTTGCAGTACAATGAGTATATATTGCAGTACCGTGAGTATAGTTTGTAGTACAGTGAGTATATTTTGCAGTACAATGAGTATATTTTGCAGTAAAGTGAGTATATATTGCAGTACCGTGAGTATTGTTTGCAGTACATTGAATATATATTGCTGTATAGTTAGTATATTTTGCAGTAGTGAGTACTTTTTAGGCAAAGCGCTACATAAATCCCATGTATTATTATTATTATTTGTTTTAAGACAGAAGGTAAAGAGTGAATTCAGAGACTCCCCCCCCCCCCCCCCCCGAGGAGCTGGTTATTGATCGGCCTCGTAGGTAGTGATTGGACGAGAGTGGATCGTTTCCTCGCTGCATTAGAGTCCATTACTGCCCGCACCCCGGAAACACAGAGGCATCCTCAAAGAGAAAAAGATTCTTCTTGGAAAAGCTCCGACAAAATGATTCAGAGTTTACCATCAGAGACGAGAAGGAAATCATTCACACTCTTATTTATCACTTTTTAAAGCCATTTTTCACTCTATTTGAATCCATCCCCATTTAGCTTCCATAGGCAGAATGTAAACGCTTTATTCTAATGAAGTTAAGAGTTCAATTTAAAACATCCGGTACTTGCAACATAATCAAAGCAATCATTTATGTAGTAGGCTATGTGTTACGTTCCCTCCTGGACTAGGGGAACCAAAGGGAAGTTACAAAATATAAAATAACAGGGAGAGAGAAAAAAGGAGAGGAAACTGATGAAGCCACAAGATGGTCTTTTAATTAATTAAAGTAAACAGGGCTCACCAGCCAATTCGCAAACTTACGACAAACCAAAACAACTTTCTCATAAAAGGGAGACAATCGGGGGGAGAGGGAGAGAGACACACACACACACCCACACACAAGCACACACACACACACAAGCACCCACTACGGCATGTAACACTATGTATAAAATTAAGCTATTGTTGTTAACAAATATACATAAGTAAACTAAGAAATGTCCGCAAAGCTGCTTCAAACTTGATTTTATTGGGTTATAAAGCAGTTCTCAAACAGTTTTGCAATAATGTAAATGTTTAAATATGTTTTCAGTGAAGGAGCCAACCCAGTACACATGTTATTTGTGAAAAATAAAGTGAGAGAAACTTCCTCTGTAGGGAACACAGGGACTTTAGCCTCTGCAGACCATTTACATGCACTAAAAACTACACAGTCTCACAAGAAAATGTGTAATAGCTACCCGGGCAAAACGTAGTATATTCACAAATAACCCTCTCAAGACGTGACATGAGCCGCTTTCACACCAAGTACTTTGCCGTACTTAGTTCCCAGTACTTAGTCCCAGTACTTAGTCCCAGTACCTAGTCCCAGTACTTAGTCCCAGTACTTAGTCCCAGTACCTAGTCCCAGTACTTAGTCCCAGTACCTAGTCCCAGTACTTAGTCCCAGTACTTAGTCCCAGTACTTAGTTCCCAGTACTTAGTCCCAGTACTTAGTCCCAGTACTTAGTCCCAGTACTTAGTCCCAGTACTTAGTTCCCAGTACTTAGTCCCAGTACTTAGTCCCAGTACTTAGTCCCAGTACCTAGTCCCAGTACCTAGTCCCAGTACTTAGTCCCAGTACTTAGTCCCAGTACTTAGTTCCCAGTACTTAGTCCCAGTACTTAGTCCCAGTACTTAGTCCCGGAACTGTCCTAGTAAATCGCGTTCACACCGGAATAAATCCCTGAGGGAGGATTACGCAAATGAAGCCGCTGACGTCACTTCTTCTTCTTCTGCTTCGGGTTTACTGGCAGGCCGCAAACAACTTCACGGCGTGGCAGTAAATCGCCACCCGAAGTCCCGGGTAAATCGCCAGAAGCGCAGACACCTCCTCATCACTCCACCGCTCCCACGTTTTATTTTGGTTGCCATAAGCTAGTCTCTCTCCGTTGGTAAGATGGACTAATGCTAATGCTAATAATGCTAATGCCAGCAAATAAAATGGCGGCTTCACAAAACCTTTTGGGAGTTTTACGGGGCGTGGTTTGCAATTCGCCCAGCCAATCAGAAATGGGAACCTTTTCCTCCCCAGGAAAGTACCTGCTCTCTAGCAGGGACTATCTGGGGGTGAAAAGGTTCTCATGAACTAAGTTCTAGTTCCGGATTCTTTTGGTGTGAATGCAAAATCCCAGGAACTATCGGAACTGTTCCTGGGAAAAGTACTCCGGTGTGAAAGCGCCTATGGATACAATATCTTGTAAAAAAAAACATGGAGCTCAAATAATCTTCGTAATATCTATCAAACTATGGATCAAACACATCCACTGGACGTATATTTTAAAAGTACAATCTAAACTTCTCGCTAGAAATGTAATCAAAAAGCGTTTTAACGGCCAAACTATCGTACAATTTAGGATTTTCCACTCAAAATAAATCGGGTGTCCGCCATGTTTTTCTTTCTCACTGGGAAAGTTTGTGATCACGTGACACGGACACCGGTCATTAGAAATGAATAGGAAACTATATTGTATCCATGTCACGTCTTGAGAGGGTTATTTGTGAACTACGTTTTGCCCCGTGGACCAACGTCGCTATTACACGTTTTTTTTGTGAGACTGTGTTGACTAAAACCTACAGAACTACAGGAGAGGGAAAACAACAGCAAACATAGGGCCTCTTTAAAGAAAGTGATCATCAGGGAAGTTTCCTGCTGATATCTGCTGGTAAAAAAAGGTTAAAGCCACCGCCCTGCATAACGATGGCATTTGAAGCCCAGCAGGTGACCCTTTTTTTGGGTGTGTGTAAATCTGCTCCTCCTCTCTTACAGCTGTGCAGAAATCACCTCCTCCATCACAATGAGGGATAATAATGTGAGATAATGGTCTCCTCCCCAGGGGGAAAGGGGTGTTTTCTGCAGGAGAAAGACGGCTTTTTTTATTTGAAACAAGAGAATTATGATGCTGTACAAACTTAAGCAGTATCAAATTGATAAACAAAAATATAATTGACTTACAAATTATATATAAACAAATGATCTACCTAATTTACACTTATTTAATCCCTTACAGCGGAGGATGACTGCTCATCATCAGAGGCATTCAATTCAATTCAATTCAAAGGTTTTATTGTCATATACTCAAAGCTACAGTGAAGAAATGGCAATGAAATTATTCTGACCTGAGCTCCTCCAACAAGGCAACATATATAATAAAATACAAAAATACAAAATGAAAAGTAGCTAGTGCAAGAAGTCCATACATGTCAATAAAATATGATGTACAAGAACAGAATATGAAATGAAATAATGCTAATTAAGACAAAATTAAATACGGTTTATTGCGGTGATAACTATTTATATAAATGAGTAGGCTATATTGCCGATGAACCATTTAAACCCCTTTAGGAGGACCCCTTAAACCCCAGATTGCTGCCTCGGTAAAAGAGGCAGCAAAGCCTTGGTTTGATTGATTGATTGAATTGATTGATTGATTGATTGATTGATTGATTGATTGATTGATTGATTGATTGAAAAGTTTATTAACAGCTTGTATATTGGGTACAGTACAGTACAGCTCTGGTGCATACAAATAAAACAACAATTTAAAAAACACAGATAGCGAACTATTATAGAGTGTTCTTAAAATAGTTCGCTATCTGTGTTTTTCATTTTCATTTTACTTTGATGTATGCACCACGACACCAAGTCAAATTCCTCGTTCGTGTGAAGCTACCTGGAGATAAACCTGACTCCGATTCTGATTCGGTAAAAGGGGAGGAGGATGAAGAGGAGGAGGGAGAGGAAGAGGGAATCCTGCTGCGATGCACGGAGGCTGTGAGGAGACGCTCCCCGGGTCTCCGGAGCTCACGAGGCGGGTCCAAAATCCGCAGAACCGCCGGGGGGATCCGGGTTTCCATCTGTACTTCCAGGAAAACACAGCATAGCTCCGGCTGCAGGAGAGAGGCTCGGTTCGGTGTCCACATCCCGGCGTCATCTCACAGAAGCATCGGCGGTGGTGCTGGATCCTCTGGCGGGTTGCATCTATGCTATATATTCTCCACTTTTCATTTTATCATGAGCACAGAGGAGGGAGAGGCGTGTGGAGGGGAGGAGGTGAAGGGGGGCGAAACCCTCCCTCACAGCCACACCTGGGGGGAAGGAGAGCCTCACGGTGGCGGGGAAAGACGCCTGAACCCCGGGGAAGAGAAGGAGGAAGAGCCGGGTGAGGAAGAGGAGGCCCGGAGCTGCAGGGATGCATGTGACGGGGGGCATTTCTCCCGTGAGGAAGAGGAGGAGGAAGTGGGGGTTTTGAGGGGGAGATCGTGCAAGGAGCAGACGATGCATTCAAACAGCAGCAGTGAGACCTGCATCCCGACCCCCAGCTGCAGGATCTGCTTCCAGGGAGCCGAGCAGGTACAATCTGCTGTTTCTGTCACATGCAAAGTACTGGTGGTGTGAAGGTGGAGAGTAACTAAGTAGATGTACTCAAGTGCACTGTGGAGGTACTTCTACTCGAGTATTTGTACTTCCTGCTACTCTTAACTTCACATTTTTTGCTTTGAACTCCACTACTGGACATTTATCTGACAGATTAAGTTTGGAGATTGTATTTAGAATACAAAATATAATCAACAAGTAGTTTATCATGTCAAGATACACTTTAAAGATTACATTCAATACACAGTGAAACAAACATCAATAAGTAATTCATCATGTTTTTTAAATAGATTAACTCTCAGTTAGAATAAGGGGGTGATTTCATCCAGTTAGGGTTAGGGGATGGAAACATGGATGGGTTCATACATTTTAATACGTTTCAAAACAGAATCCTGACTAAACTTCCACACATGTCTGTGTCTTGCTGCTCTGATTTTAGTTATAGTCAAAAACATTGAACATTTTAGCTATTTCTAACTAAAAAATGTTCTTTAGTTTTGTATAAATGAGGTCTATTGACACTAAATGCCATAAAGAACCGAATAAAGAACAGCTCGCAGTGATACTTAGACATGTATTTGGCTTTAGAGGTGTGACACACATTTGGCAAAAGCTGCATAGTTGTGTGGATAAACTTTATTGATCCTTGGTGGAAGTCACAAGCTACCTGTCTATATATATATGTATTTAGTAAGAACAACTCTACTACGACTAGCTGCAACATTAAGTGATAAACACATCAATGCATCAATACTTATAATCCAATAACTCAACATGTGTATTACTTACTGCTAACCTACTTTACTAACCTGTTAACCTGTAGCAGAGTCATTCTAAACATTGAATTCACTACTTTAGCTAAAGATTTGGTGAAAGTTGGCTTTAATTGAATGAAGGTGCTGCATGGTGATTGGCTGCTGCTGCAACTCACCTGCTTTCACAACTCGCTGGAAACGTTTCTGATTGGATGGATAATAATAGAAAAAGAGCCAAAGTAAATGTGAAGATGTAAACCTGTAATGTTATTAAGAGTTACAACATAAAGTGTAGAGAAGGACCTTGGACTGACTTCAGCGCCGTGGAGAGAGCATACTTCTACAGGTGGAAAGTAATCAGTACAGCAGTTCAGAGTTTAAGTACAAGTACATGCTGTTATACTGTTAACTGTTTGTACCTTTAATCTACTTTTGCACAACTCACTTATCCTCTGTGTATATATATATATAACATACGTACAATTAGGGCTGCACGATTTGTGGAAATAATCTAATTGCGATCTTTCTGACAGATATTGCGATTGCGATTTGCGATATTTATTTTTAACCGACCCAACGGAAGTTTATTGTAAAATGCGGCCATATCTCCGGCTAGGAAGGTCGCATCAACGTGCTCCCGTCTCTAGCACCCCACAGCCCGAGCTACGAGTGAAAGAACTAAACTTACATTAAACTTCCGTTGGGTTGCTTTAAAGTCAAGCTTCAGTTTAAGATCCACCCTGTAATAGAAACATGTGATGGAGCCTTACTAACCTGACTCAGACGGTTTCACCAAACCATCAGGAAAGCTCCATTGGAAGCCATTTGGAAAAGTATTTCAAAAATACTTGGCAGGTGATTGGATCAATCTGTCTATCACCTACTATCATGGGCCACTTCTGATTGGTTAACAATGACTGGTACATGTGGAGCACAGCACTTCTGATTGGTGTGGATGAATGACACACAAGAAGAACAACATTTTTTTTTTACAATTATAATTTATATTTATTTAAAGGCCGTTGACTTTAGGGAAGGCTGTGGCTCAGTGGGTTAGTGTGCTGATCTTCGAATCAGAGGATAGCAGGTTCAAGTCCCACTGCTGTCAGCATGTCGTTGTGTCCCTGAGACACTTCACCCCAAATTGCTCCACAGTACTGAATGTGTGTTAGTCGCTTTGGATAAAAGCGTCTAACAAGTGACATGTCATGTGATGTAATGTTGACTGATTGAATTAAAAACACACAAGAAGTTAAAGCAAGAAGCTTCAGTAAGAATGCTATAGCAATTATTAAAATAAAATGTATATATTTATATAAACACACATACAATGAAATAAAACTAAATTAAATGAACTTAAATCAAAACAAGTTTTTTAAAATAATATATTGGACGTGGAGTAAAATAAAAAATTAAAATATTTCTATAAACACAAGACATTCAATTAAAATGTTCAATAAGATAACATATATTTAAACAAAAGAGGTTAAATAAGAGTTCGCAATAAAAATATATAATTAAAAATATATATTTATATTAACATAAGGAGTTAAAATGTAATATCTAATACAAATAAAATAAAACAGGAAAAAAACTATACAAAATGTAAGACTGTGCAATAAAAAGACTGAATTAAATACAATTATATATATATATACACAGTAGATATGCCCATACACTACAGTTCTCCAATGGATTCACAATGAGAGGTGGAGGAAATCCCTGAATCACGGTCTCAGTGAATCATCAGTCTGTGAGTCCTCCTGCAGACGGTGGACAGACAAACGGTCACTCCGTCTCTGAAACCTGAAACTCTGCAGGGTGCTTTTCTGTCTCGTGACAGCATGAGGGACGGCTCGTCCTGCAGGAAGGAGAGCAGGCAGTAAACGCTAAGTGAATATCCTGTCCTCTGAACGTGGGCTACAGCCTATTAGCACACTTAATCTAATCTCTGCGTCCGGGGCCAGACTAATATCTGGATTTTAGAGTTCCCTTCTTACGCAATTACCTGCACATTGGTGACTTGCAACATTCTCTTGCGCTGTTTCATATTGTTGTATGTCTATTCATGTTGCATTATTGAAGGAGCCTGGGACTTAAGATTGTCATTGCCATATCTACTCTGTAGCATACGACGATAAAGCCTTTTAATCTTAAATCTTGAAGGCCGAGCTCCACCTGTTATCAGGGAGAATGTAAATATTCATTTATGAGCAGAGAAAGATGTTATCTAAGTCCAGTAAATCAGCATGTGAAGTCATGTGACCGTGCTGTAGTTCCTTTATAGCCCAACATTAGCCTCTTTTAGCTTAGCGGTGGTGACGTGAAGTCATGTGACCGTGCTGTAGTTCCTTTATAGCCCAACATTAGCCACCTTTAGCTTAGCGGTGGTGACGTGAAGTCATGTGACCGTGCTGTAGTTCCTTTATAGCCCAACATTAGCCACCTTTAGCTTAGCAGTGGTGATGTGAAGTCATGTGACCGTGCTGTAGTTCCTTTATAGCCCAACCTTAGCCGCCTTTAGCTTAGCGGTGGTGATGTGAAGTCATGTGACCGTGCTGTAGTTCCTTTATAGCCCAACATTAGCCACCTTTAGCTTAGCTGTGGTGACGTGAAGTCATGTGACCGTGCTGTAGTTCCTTTATAGCCCAACATTAGCCACCTTTAGCTTAGCTGTGGTGACGTGAAGTCATGTGACCCTGCTGTAGTTTCTTTATAGCCCAACATTAGCCGCCTTTAGCTTAGCGGTGGTGACGTGAAGTCATGTGACCGTGCTGTAGTTCCTTTATAGCCCAACATTAGCCACCTTTAGCTTAGCTGTGGTGACGTGAAGTCATGTGACCGTGCTGTAGTTCCTTTATAGCCCAACATTAGCCACCTTTAGCTTAGCGGTGGTGACGTGAAGTCATGTGACCGTGCTGTAGTTCCTTTATAGCCCAACATTAGCCACCTTTAGCTTAGCGGTGGTGACGTGAAGTCATGTGACCGTGCTGTAGTTCCTTTATAGCCCAACATTAGCCACCTTTAGCTTAGCAGTGGTGATGTGAAGTCATGTGACTGTGCTGTAGTTCCTTTATAGCCCAACCTTAGCCGCCTTTAGCTTAGCGGTGGTGATGTGAAGTCATGTGACCGTGCTGTAGTTCCTTTATAGCCCAACATTAGCCACCTTTAGCTTAGCGGTGGTGATGTGAAGTCATGTGACCGTGCTGTAGTTTCTTTATAGCCCAACATTAGCCACCTTTAGCTTAGCTGTGGTGATGTGAAGTCATGTGACCGTGCTGTAGTTTTTTTATAGCCCAACATTAGCCACCTTTAGCTTAGCGGTGGTGACGTGAAGTCATGTGACCGTGCTGTAATTCCTTTATAGCCCAACATTAGCTTGTTACTTCAGAAATCATAAAGTGTTATTATGTGAAGATTATCCTGCTGAACAAAACGTCTATGAATCATAAACATTGAGATTATTTTGTGAAATAATCATATGGCTCCTTTTTGTGGCGGGAACCAGGGAGATGTTGCCTTCAGGGTCCACTTTGTTGGCCTCTACAATCCCCAAAAAGTTGTATGGTTCATCAAATGTCCCCTCAGATATCCAGAAGCATTGAAATCCTCCTTCTCTTCTCTTTAAACCTCACAGCTTCAGTGGAGAGCCGCCCTAACTCAGTTAATTCAAGTGAAAGCCTCTGAGGTGCTCTTAAACCCACAAGGTTAATATGACATGGTGAAAAACGATCTGCCTGACCGCTGACCTTAATACACTTTTAATACTCCGCTCACTGCCCGGCAGTAATGGCCGCCTGAGGAATGCCTCCAGGAAGAAAGCATAGATATGGTTTTTCATGATTTATGTCGCGCTGCATCTGGACGTGTTGTAGCTGCAGAGAAATGATCATTGAACTGAGCGATGCTGGTGAACAAGGCGTGGATTTTATTTGATGAATGAGCCGCTGGGAGGAAATGCCAAACTGAGGCATGAAGGCAAGGATCCCTGGATGATGAGAAAGTTGTGACACGTAGACCTTAAGAATTGGATTTAAGATTAATATTAAGAAGATGGTTCCACTATCGACCCAACAGCAGATTGTTTCCGTCTGTTTCTCTTAAGATTTTGTCACATCTACTCCAGCGTGTTTAAGACAAAGAGCATTTACAAAAATAAGAATAAGGCGCCTGAAATGCAGACCTTTTGAGACTAAACTTGTTTGTTATTCATTTATCAATAAAGGTTTTTTTAAATCACAATCAGGGTTCGTTGAATGCTTTTCAGATTGCCAATTAAAAAACATGCAGTTGAAGCTTTGTTCAATTTCCTAATCAGTTGTTAATATGTGTTTGTGACATACATATGTTATCCTTCCTGTTGTCCTCCCATCTAATGTGACCCTTTCCAAATGTCTTTAATGTCAGAATAAGTTAATCTTTTATTTAATTGCCACAGAAATGAAGATTTACAAAAAAATCTACGTGTGTTTTATCCAAATTCAGTCAAATTCCCAGGTCAAATTTCACCCACATTTCACGGGAAGAAAACACAAAGGTTAACGATTAAAGAAATTCTCTCTCCATCATTACGTGTTAATATCTGACCTCTGACCTCTGACCTGCTGCAGGGCGCCCTGCTGAACCCGTGCCGCTGCGACGGCTCGGTGCGCTACACCCACCAGACCTGCCTCCTGAAGTGGATCAGCGAGCGCGGCTGCTGGACCTGTGAACTCTGCTGCTACCGCTTCAGCGTCATCGCCATCAACACCAAGAACCCCTGGCAGGTAAAAGCACTGAGGGCGGGGAGTGAGGAATTATTAATAATTGTACTTTATTTGATGTACAATTATGATGAATGAGCATGTAATAAAACATTTATATAAATAAGTACAAATATGCACTTTAACATGTAACAGGTTGGTTGATAATGGACGTTTAAATAATGAATTAGGAATCATTGCCATTATATGATCTCTGGGTTTTTTTTACGACTTTTTTTTACAGCCGTTTGAGGTTACCGTTTTCTCCCACCGAGCATCCTCTCTGAATTATTATAGAGACATTAACAGATGATTGTTTTTACAGTGCATTGATTTATGCTCAGAAATATTCACAGTGGAGGAAAACCGGCACGGTACAAAACGGACACAAAATATACCCTCCTGCATCTGTCAGAGTACTTCTTGCTAAATGATTCATCTAAATTACAAACACATCCACATGTAGAGGTGTATTTAACACAACATTGACTCAACTAAATTAGTAGTAAAGATGCAGTTAAGAATACATTTTCTATAAAAGCATCTATCTATTAGTTATGATGGTTGTTTTCTTGATGAAGACGTGGTGTTTCCTCTTCAGTTTGGATTCCTTCAGTCCTTGTTTCCTCCCAAGGCTGAACAGACAGAGCCTCCTGCAGCTCAACATGTCAGGATGGTTTCATTATCTGAGGAACATTCAGGCCTTTTCATATCTGTTCGCTCCAGATGGGACTTGAGTCACTGGCAGAATGAACAAACACCCTCAGCCTAAAAGTATTTTTCTCGGAAATAATCTCTGTGCAGTTTCACAATCCACAATGTTCTGATTCTGAGTTTTAAAGAGTCCTCTCCTGCTGATGTCCAGGTGTATATCAGTATGTAGTGTCTCTACTTTAAAGAGTCCTCTCCTGCTGATGTTCAGGTGTATATCAGTATGTAGTGTCTCTACTTTAAAGAGTCCTCTCCTGCTGATGTCCAGGTGTATATCAGTATGTAGTGTCTCTACTTTAAAGAGTCCTCTCCTGCTGATGTCCAGGTGTATATCAGTATGTAGTGTCTCTACTTTAAAGAGTCCTCTCCTGCTGATGTCCAGGTGTATATCAGTATGTAGTGTCTCTACTTTAAAGAGTCCTCTCCTGCTGATGTTCAGGTGTATATCAGTATGTAGTGTCTCTACTTTAAAGAGTCATCTCCTGCTGATGTTCAGGTGTATATCAGTATGTAGTGTCTCTACTTTAAAGAGTCCTCTCCTGCTGATGTCCAGGTGTATATCAGTATGGAGTGTCTCTACTTTAAAGAGTCCTCTCCTGCTGATGTTCAGGTGTATATCAGTATGTAGTGTCTCTACTTTAAAGAGTCCTCTCCTGCTGATGTTCAGGTGTATATCAGTATGTAGTGTCTCTACTTTAAAGAGTCCTCTCCTGCTGATGTTCAGGTGTATATCAGTATGTAGTGTCTCTACTTTAAAGAGTCCTCTCCTGCTGATGTCCAGGTGTATATCAGTATGTAGTGTCTCTACTTTAAAGAGTCCTCTCCTGCTGATGTTCAGGTGTATTTCAGTATGTAGTGTCTCTACTTTAAAGAGTCCTCTCCTGCTGATGTCCAGGTGTATATCAGTATGTAGTGTCTCTACTTTAAAGAGTCCTCTCCTGCTGATGTTCAGGTGTATATCAGTATGTAGTGTCTCTACTTTAAAGAGTCATCTCCTGCTGATGTCCAGGTGTATATCAGTATGTAGTGTCTCTACTTTAAAGAGTCCTCTCCTGCTGATGTTCAGGTGTGTATCAGTATGTAGTGTCTCTACTTTAAAGAGTCCTCTCCTGCTGATGATCAGGTGTGTATCAGTATGTAGTGTCTCTACTTTAAAGAGTCCTCTCCTGCTGATGTTCAGGTGTATATCAGTATGTAGTGTCTCTACTTTAAAGAGTCCTCTCCTGCTGATGTTCAGGTGTATATCAGTATGTAGTGTCTCTACTTTAAAGAGTCCTCTCCTGCTGATGTTCAGGTGTATATCAGTATGTAGTGTCTCTACTTTAAAGAGTCCTCTCCTGCTGATGCTCAGGTGTATATCAGTATGTGGTGTCTCTACTTTAAAGAGTCCTCTCCTGCTGATGTTCAGGTGTATATCAGTATGTAGTGTCTCTACTTTAAAGAGTCCTCTCCTGCTGATGTTCTGGTGTATATCAGTATGTAGTGTCTCTACTTTAAAGAGTCCTCTCCTGCTGATGTTCAGGTGTATATCAGTATGTAGTGTCTCTACTTTAAAGAGTCCTCTCCTGCTGATGTTCAGGTGTATATCAGTATGTAGTGTCTCTACTTTAAAGAGTCCTCTCCTGCTGATGTTCAGGTGTATATCAGTCTGTAGTGTCTCTACTTTAAAGAGTCCTCTCCTGCTGATGTTCAGGTGTATATCAGTATGTAGTGTCTCTACTTTAAAGAGTCCTCTCCTGCTGATGTTCAGGTGTATATCAGTATGTAGTGTCTCTACTTTAAAGAGTCCTCTCCTGCTGATGTTCAGGTGTATATCAGTATGTAGTGTCTCTCACAGTGATATGGTTCTCTCTCTCTCTCTCAGTGGCAGTCCATCACCATCACGCTGGTGGAGAAGGTGCAGATCATCGCGGTGTTTCTGGGCTCTCTCTTCCTGGTGGCCAGCATCTCCTGGCTGCTGTGGTCGGCTCTCAGCCCGCAGGCCGTGTGGCAGCGCCGCGACGTGCTCTTCCAGATCTGCTACGGCATGTACAGCTTCATGGACCTGGTCTGCGTAGGTGAGTCTGAAACCAGTCTGCAAACCATTCTGTGTCATGACTAGGCAAACGAGCATGAACCCAAAAGCATGACTCGACACACAAAGTACAAAAGAAAGTCTTTACTGAAAAAAGGGCACTATTTGTACAACAGAAAATCGCTCCGTGGAGGTAACAGGTAAATAACAAAAAACACTCTAGCACTAGTTTCAAAAATGCAAAAGGGTAAAGTATAATCCAAAACTCGGCTGTTTTCATAACAGGTGACCTTTAATGTTTGTCCCAGGTTTGATCGTCCATGAGGGGGCGGCGGTGTACAGCGTGTTCTTGCGCTGGCGGGCCGTCAACCTGCACTGGGACGTCCAGAGCTACAACAAAGCCAAGGACCTGGAGGAGACGAGCACCGGCCAATCGGCACTCTCCCCCAGGACGCTGTGGTTACCATTGACTACCTTTGCACCCGATGGCCCTTTACGCCCCGGCACCCAGCTGGAGGTCCAGCCATGGAGCTGCCTCTGTTTGGGGCCCTTTTGCCACCCCCGAAACCCCCTGAGGCGGGACAGGGACTCGGGGCAGGAGGTCATCCGGGTGACGTCGGTGTGACACCAGGCGGGATTTATGCTCCTGATGGTTTTCACTGGGGGGCAACTGGGCAGTTTCATCATCTTTCTCATCATGGATTTACTACATTTTTTCGCAGATCAACCAGATGTCTTGAAAAATGTGAAACGGTCCCCAAACGATAGGATGTTACCGCTGTTTGTCCCCAAGATAAGACTAAAGCCAAGTATATATTTATATAGTCTTAAAGTTACAACTGGCCCTTTGAGTGCAACCATAATGCTGATGTGGCCCGGCGATGAAATGGAGTTTGACCCCCCTGCTCTAGACCATCGTGCAGAGATTGTAAGATTAACAACGTGTGACCATTTTCATTATCATACAACTCATCAGGGTTTAAGACGGCACGATTGGCTGAAGGAGAGTTCATCAAAGCACTATAACCCTTACATTTGGCTAAAATGACCATAAATGATTGGGTAAGGCTGATTTGAGGAATCTTTTTAACGCTTTTGCATCGTTTGGCACCAGGTCAGATACGTAAGAGCTTTAAGAAAGTGTTACTGGGACAATAATTTTGAAGAAGTATTAAAGGAAGTTGCCACATGAATACGGCATTAAAGGTGGGGTAGGTCATTTTGGAGAAACCGGCTCGAGATCGCTAGAATTTGAAAATACACAGCCGGAGAAAATCTGCCACTTCCTTACAGAGCCCCTCCTCCAACACACACAAACGCGCACATGACCAATGAGGGCACGAGATAAGTTTGTGCACAGATGGAAGGCTGACAGGCAGGTAGGCCATCCAGTTATTTTAGCCGGGCCGGCTCAGATGATTGGTCGTGCTTTTTACAGCGCCACGGCTTCCACAGATGAAATGTTTTTATGGATCTCTTGTCAAAGCACTTCAGATATTTATTGCTATCGGGATGTGAAGAACATTCCATGGAATATAACAACAAGTGTATCTCGAGCCGGTTTCTCAAACTTACCTACCCCACCTTTAAATTGAGATGTTCTGCAAAATCTTAGTTTTTAAAGCACTGTAGTCTCCTATAGTCCCATTAAAAAAGAAGGTTCTTTGAAAGCTACCCGTTATAACAGTAAGCATTTAAACATAATCATCTTCAATTCAGATCAACCAGATGTCTTGAAAAATGTGAAACGGCCCCTAAATGATGGGATGTCTCCGCTGTTTGTCCCCAAGATTATACTAAAGCCAAGTTCTGATCAATTATAATCTGATTAACAATGAAAAGTATTTCATGATGAAACATGTCCGTAGCCGACATGTCTTATAGTTGTTGTTACTTTTGCTGTTTTTAGAGTTTGAAAAGCTTTGACTTCTTCCAAAACTGCCGGATTCTTGCTGTGTTTTCGGATAATCCTGTTTCGCATTTTGTACGAATAAATCCTACCTTTTTGAGAAACCAGAAGGAAGCAGAATTCAGCGACTAAGACGGATGGCATATGAGCACAAAACAAACAATGCAGGCATCACATCTGGACTCTTTTGAATGTCATTGGAACTCAATCTCAGATTATTTGTGCCAGCATGGATACAGATGTTGAAAATGGTGGATTTGACCCTTTCTTATGCCTTTCTGTTGAGCTTCCAGGAGCCCTGTGTTGTTTGGGAGGGTGTTTTTTGTTGTTGTTGGGGTCTCTGTTCTCGACTCTGGGTCATTTGGGTCGTTAGATTGTTTTGTGCCTTCGGAGGCTTGGTGACGTCTCAATGCGCAGCACAGAAATGACTTGAATGTGACTTTTGCTGTCGGCTGTATTTCTATTTCATTTGAATGTAACATGGATGTAATGTATAAAGAATATTTATATAAATGGAGAGCTCTGTTGGTTATTTACCTGATTTCAGGAAGACACTTTTTTCACACCAAGTCCCAAGGGACAAAATAGGAAATGTTTGCGATGTTGGACAGCAGGAGCTTTGTCTCCCTGTGGGGCTTTTATCTTGAGTAAACAAACTGCAGCTTCTGATGTGATGACATCATCAGTGACAAAATCATCAGCCATGACGTCATGTGGAATGTGATGACATCATCTTTGACATCACAGAGCCTCTCCCGAAAGTATGCAAGTAGACCATACACACGTCATAAGTTACAATGTTTATTTTTTGTCTTTTCTTTTTCAGGAAGGAAGAACGGGACGCCACATGAATGCAGCAGAAGTGCTCCAATCTTGTAATGTAACGTACACACACACACACACACACACACACACACACACACGTTTCCTGTCGTTGCTTAGCGTCTGCGTCGGACCACTCTCGCATGCATCTGCGAGCAGCCAGGGACTTCCTCTGAGGTCTCTTGCGTCTGCGCACGGGGCGAGCGGCATTTTTGACGATGCCAAGCAAACGCAGACAAGCCGCTCGCCCCGTGCGCAGACGCAGGAGACCTCAAAAGAAGTCCCCGATGTGATGTCACCGATGATGTAACCGCATTCTGCATGACATCACCGATGATCTCATCGCACTCAGCATCAGTGATGTCGAAGAGCCTTTCTTCACTGGTGATCACATGACATCATGCAGAATGTGATGACATCATCAGTCAAGTGTCACACCTCTGGTACTCAAATGAACTCAAACCAATGAATTACCCAGTATTCAAAACTACCGATTGAGACTGTCAAAGTATATCAAATAAAGTAAATAATGTCAATACCACTTCAGACCAAATATGTAATCATTTATTGTTAGAATCATCCTTTCAATACATAATACAGCTAATACAGATAGAAAAATGAAATACCAGTAATGTGTCAAAGATCAGTTGCATGGTTGCGTAGAGAAAAATACAACGAGATTTTTATCTTAAGAAAATCAGGTGATCATCAGGAGAAAAAAACAAGGCAAAGACTTACAGTATAAAATGTACAGCCACGTGATTATATAATATTTATATAACATTGCACAATATAGCAAAAAAAAGAAGAGAAACCACACATTGGAAAACAAATGAAGTGTACAGAATATACAACAAGGCACTGTGGAAGAAACCTGCACACGCGTCTTTGGATGGATCTGCCGCCCGCGGAGCTCCAGTGAAATGTTGTAGGAATGTCACGCTGCAAACAATCCCACTGAGCAAGTCTTTAAACTAAAATCTGATCAATTACATCGATAATTCAGACATTATTACTAATAATTGTTCAATAATTGCAGTCTGAGTCACTTGAAGGGGCATTGCGTACTGTTTTAAGGCCTTTAAATTGTGCTACATCGGGAGGGTTTGATGAAAATGACAATTTCGGACTTTTAGTCATATTTTGTGGATTTTTGCATTCAATTATGTTCCATAGAAAGAATCGTCAATGCAGTATAATGCATTCTTATCTAAGGTTAGCACTGTTTTGCAAGTGAAATAACCAAACTTTACAAAGAACAGAAAGAACAAGCCCTAAATATTGATCTTTGGAAGTGATGGATAGGGATAAGGGCAACATGTGGAAAATGTTTTTGAGCTTTGAATTCATGCAAAAAGATAAATAAAGTCAGAATTTGGAGTTTAAAATCTGAGTTTTGAGATTAAAATGAACACAATTGTTATTTCAAATCTCAGAAACAAATCTAATTTCAGAAATTAAAATCACGAATCCTTTTCATACTCTGAATTCCTCACTTAAATTCAGGAAATCTGTATTTTCGAGATCAATATCTGATTTGGTTTCTCCCTTTGCAATTCTTTTGTCAAAAAGCCCTACTTTTTTTTTAGCCTCAAAATCCGAAATTCAAATTCTTAAAAAAAGGTCGAATTGCGAGATAAAAGTCTGAATAATTTTTTCTCTTCGCAATTCTTTGAATACATTTAGAATTTTGAGATCTAAATAATAATTTATCTGAGAATTCTTAGTTTGAATTGAATTCAGAAAAAAAAAGGGTTCAAATTGAAAAGTCAAGATTTTAAAGTAGAAATTCAGTTTTTCTTTTTCTAAATTCTAAATATGATTTTTCCCCATATGGTAGGATATTAAATATTTTTTCCCCCTTTTCCCGCACCTGATCTTCATCACTTTAAATTTGAGTGCTGTTTTCTGGACTGGGAGACAGACGATAAGACTGGGCTTACACGTCAGAAATTAACAGATGTAAAAATAACTCAGAGTTTACATTGAACGACCTGCACAGACGGACACATTCTGCAGTGTAAAAGTACATTTGTAGTTAAAGGGAACCTTCCAGATTCTGGTTACACAGGAACAAGAGTGGCATCAGTTTGATTTCAGTTCGTCCTGCTTCAGTTTGAACAGGCACTTGTGTGTGTGACCTTCAAAAAAAATCATCAACAAATCAACACAATCAATCAAAGAAATGCTTCAGCCGAGTACAGTCGCATATTATTTACAGTTCTTTTTTTAAGAAGGTCAGGTCCCAGAGTTTATCAAAGCAGAGGAAAAGGCTTTAACTATGTTCTCTTTTCTCCATCTTAACTGCTTTCTTTTAATTACATTCAGACATGTAGACGCACCTCTTTTAAAAGTCACAGTCACACACACACACACACACACACACACACACACACACACACACACACACACACACACACACACACACACACACACCCACACACACACACACACACACACACACACACACACACACACACACACACACCACACACACACACACACACACACACACACACACACACACACACACACACACACACACACACACACACACACACACACACACACACACACACACACACACACACACACACAGTAACACAAAGCACCATCCTGCAACAACAGTCCTTGCAGTGCCGCAGCACATTAGCATCAGGAGAAATGAGCGTCCTTTTTTCCAAAACAAGACACATCCACACATCTAGAGTAAATCACGAGAGGATGATACGGTTGTGTGAAACCCTCAGATGGTTTTCTTTGGTCTGACAAAAGTGGAATTTGTTTTACTATCTTATTCAGCTACTGCAGAATCCCAGGAACAGTTTTGATAGGTTATTCCCGTCATGTACTTTTTACAATTGCCTTATTTTTTGGTATCGCTCTTGAACCCAATGTTGCGTTATCTTAGACCCAGAACTTTAGATAACGAGCCGAGTGTTTGAGTCCTTCGTAGCTTCAGGAATCAAATTAATTACTGTAATAAATGCTACTTATCTTTGAAATAAGGATATTGTGGTCAGATTGTCAATATTTACCACCAATAATAACGTTCAAGTCTAATGTTGGGCTATAAAGGAACTACAGCACGGTCACATGACTTCACTTGACCACCGCTAAGCTAAAGGAGGCTAATGTTGGGCTATAAAGGAACTACAGCACGGTCACATGACTTCACGTCACCACCGCTAAGCTAAAGGAGGCTAATGTTCGGCGTGATGACGTTTAGTCGTCTCATTTAGACACCGCCATTTTAAAATCCACCAGTGACGTATTTTATGTCGTAGAACAAAAATCTCTTCAGCTTAACCACAGACCCTATTTCAGGATAACAACCAAAAACACATTCAGAAAACCATTGACTTCCAGGTGAGGGCACAGGAAGTGGTAAAATGCTAACTCATTCCCTGGTTTTAGGACTCATTCCTGGTTACACGACTCAACTTAACTTGTTTGTCAGCATTACGAAGGTTTAAAAAAGAAGTTAGCAACCAAAGAAAACCAGCTTGAAATGGTTGCTAACTCTGTTTAAGGCTCTGATCTCTCAGGTGTGGATGTGTAACGTTTTGGAATGAAACCAGACAAAATCATAACTTTAGCTAATTATCGTTAAGAGCATTGTGGTTTGTCTCCAGCATTCAGAGTCAGTCTTGAGATTTCAAAGATGGTGGTCGGAGTTCACCAGGCGCTGCACTGGCTGCCGTGGCTGCTGACCGACTGACAGTTGCTGTAGCGCTTCTTCACGATCATGCTGATGTAGGCCTTCATCAACTTGGCAATGTCCATGACCTGCAGGTGAGAGAGACAAGGATTTAAGGTTGGTGTTTCTGTTTGCTTCACCTGCATGCATTCAAAGATTCCAAGGCTTTCTTGTCATATGCACAGTAGCTACAGTGTGGGCAGGCTCCTCCAACAATGCAACATAAATATATATAAGATATAAAACCATAGAAAATAATGCAAGATTATGATTTGCCAAGGCAAGTTGGTGCAATCATCTGCTGTTCAATTGAGCTATGACATGTACATATGAGCTGTTGGCTAATTGTAAAGGGATTGGACTCTGCTAATGTTATTTAACAATCTTAAAAACTGTTCTTAAAGGTGGGGTAGGTAAGTTTGAGAAACCGGCTCGAGATACACTTAAGCAATAGCTCACGACAGGCCGTGGTATATGGCCATTATATCACAGTTAAGGGGCGTGGTTCGGCCCGGCTAAAATAACTGGATGGCCTACCTGCCTGTCAGCCTTCCATCTGTGCACAAACTTATCTCGTGCCCTCATTGGTCATGTGCGCGTTCGTGTGTGTTGGAGGAGGGGCTCTGTAAGGAAGTGGCTGATTTTCTCCGGTTGTGTATTTTCAAATTCTAGCGATCTCGAGCCGGTTTCTCAAACTTACCTACCCTACCTTTAATATATATTGACATCAGTTCCTTTGGCAAGGAAAGTTGGTGAACTAATGTTCCGTTCTTTTGAGCTTTGACAAGTGATTTGACAAAGCTAATTCTATCCTTCAAAACATGCCTATAATATATCTCTACATGAAGAAACCAATGACTGGTTGTTACGAACCATTTGCGTGTCGAACACCAGCTCTCGGCCCTCCACAGTGATCTTGTAGGCGCTGGCCAGCGGAGCTCCGAAAGAGAGGATCTGCTCGTACGGGAAAACCTCCAGAGGCCACGGCTCTCCTCTCTTATACACAGAGATCGCCTCCCGACTCACGCCCAGCCACAGCTCCGAGGGGAACGACCCGTCACGGCACTACAAAGAGTAAACATATTCATATTACACTAAGGAATATATTTCATTAAGGGATTTGAATGTCAAGTAAAAAGTTGACATTTTGAAACTGCAATACTGGAAATAAAACCACAAATGTATTAAAAACTGAGAGATTTGTTTTTCTAATCACAAGAGAAATACTGGCTGCAATACTGTGCCTTACTTTAGTAACAATATCAATACTTTCTTTACACTTTTGAACGCATTTCTTTGAGCAATGTTCAATAGTAAAACTCCTATTTGATGTTAAACAAAATATAAGATAAAATGCATCCATGTTTGTGTAAAGAAAAGTTGCTTTACTAGAACCTTAGCAATAAAACTGCTCCGAGTGGAACCACTCATCACAACACTACAAATATTAAACATATTAATATTACACTAAGAACTATATTTCAACAAGGGATCCAAAAAACAAACGCTGGTAGACTCACCTCCACGTTGAACAGCGTGGATCCGTATCCCTGCCACTCCTTGGCCACCGCCATGTATTTGACCATGGCCTGTCCCTGGTTCATGCCCTGCAGCTTCCTCCACTTGTCCATCACGCAGGTCTTCACGGCCGCCGCCTCCTCCCTCATCCACGCCTCCAGGCTGTTCTCCTCCTCCAGTTTCTGCCGACTCAGCGATCCGCTCCGGAAGCTCCTCCTCAGCGTTCCCTCCAGGAAGCTCGAGCGTTTCCTCTCCGACGTTCCCGAGCGTTCGGATAAAGAGCCGCCGCCGCCGCCGCTGCTGACGGAGCTCGGAGCGAACGTTTTGGCTGAGTTTTGCACACGGGCCCGCAACCGAGACATGGGGAACACCAGGGACATTTCGGGGATTTTGACCTGGGGGTTGTGATCCCCCTGGAGGTACTGGAGCCTGAGGGCCGCCAGGAACTGAAGGGTTTCCTCGGGGCCCGGATACCGACCCCGGATCACAGCCTCATGAGCCTGGAGACAAGGAAATGGGAGATGAAGATGTCAGAACATTTTGGAACTGCGATACATGAAATAAAACCACTCTCATTTATGTGTTCTGTTCTTATGTTTGTTCCTTTCGGGACTCTCTGTGTTTTGTTTTTATGTTAACCTTAATTTCCGTCTCAATAAAATACCTCCGTCAGTCAGAAAGCGCGACAAATTCATGTTTTAAAAACTGCTCCTCTCATGTTACACCTAAAACAAACACAGGTTAACGTGTTTCCTTCCCATCATGCTCTCCTGCTCTGATGCATTCATTGGCTTGTGTTTCTACTTGAGATGTGTGTGATGTGTGTGATGTGTTCTCATGTTTTTTTGATCAGATCAAAATAAATATATTTTTTAAATACTTGACAATATAGACCCACTTCTGTCCAAAAGAATATCATACTCCTGCTGAACAACCACTTTTGGGGTTTAAAGTGTTCTCCATTATTCAAAAGGTATTCCTACTGGCTACGGATTAGATATCGAGCTTCAGTCTGATGGCTCCGAACAATAGCAACAGGGTTTGGTTTTTTGTTTTAAATAGCTTCTTACCTGTTCAAACATGAAGGCGAACTCCACGCTGTCTTTGGGAACATTCTCCGTGTCCAGGAAGCAGTAAAGCTTGAAGTAAAACTTCCAGCCGGTGTTGCTCTCGTCCGGACTCGCTGAAAGTCTGGAGACAAGAGAGAGTTCATAAAGACCAGAAGACAAAACATCAACTCATTCACAAAGTAGTGCTTCAGTCTAATTGTTGGACCCTATTCCTTAATTTATATTTAGGACATGGTTGGGGTCAGAGACTCTGATTCATGGAGTTTCTCAAACCTACAGTCAGATTTTGAGGTGGAGCAGCTCTCACCCTAAAGCGGTGGACAAACACTTGTACCATGAAGTATTACAATACTGTAGGACACTCACAATCACAGATGTATAACACAAATGTACAAAGAAGCGTACTTTTCAAACTTGGCGAGCACGTCGGCCACCACCATGCGGCTCTCGATGGCTTTCTCCGTGGAGTCGTTGTGTTCGAACAGAGCGAACATGTTCCTGCTGTCCTCCATCGCCAGGCCTCGGATCAGCTTCTCCACCACCTGACACACAGGTAAACACAAACACGATTTATTAGACACTCACACTGGAATCATACTATTTAAATGGCTTGAGGACTTGATATGTTTAGATTTTTGCAGGAAAATGACACATCTACCAATCAGAAAAAGGGGGTATGTAAACTAAAGTATGAGTGGTTCAGGGTCATGGATAACCTAGACATGTACAAATAAAAAATCTTCCAGTTTTCAAATGGGATTGATAGCTGGTATTGTGATGTTTTTGTTGTCTGTCGTTCCTTTATAGCCCAACATTAGCCGCCTTTAGCTTAGCGGTGGTGACGTGAAGTCATGTGACCGTGCTGTAGTTCCTTTATAGCCCAACATTAGCCTCCTTTAGCTTAGCGGTGGTGACGTGAAGTCATGTGACCGTGCTGTAGTTCCTTTATAGCCCAACATTAGCCTCCTTTAGCTTAGCGGTGGTGACGTGAAGTCATGTGACCGTGCTGTAGTTCCTTTATAGCCCAACATTAGCCTCCTTTAGCTTAGCGGTGGTGACGTGAAGTCATGTGACCGTGCTGTAGTTCCTTTATAGCCCAGTGTTAGCTTTTTACTTCAGAAATCATAAATTGCTGTTAATATGTGGAGATTATCAAAACGTTTCAGTATCATAAACGTTTGTTTGAAACAGAGATTATTTTATATTATTCTGCGGGTTCTGAAAAGTATTAATGTTTGAACATACCTCTCCAGCGGTGGTGTGTGAGTTGATGGTGATCTTGCAGGATCCTCCTCCATGGCAGTGGACCGTGGTGCTCATGTCCTGCCGGGCCACGATGGCTCGGATCTCCTCCTGCGACGGGACGTTCTCCCGACCGCGAGTCTTCCTCAGGGAGTCCAGGGCGAAGGCGGCGTAACGATCCATCTCCGATCCGGGGAGGAGCTCTCGAGACCTGCAGGGAGGGAGATTTGGATCGTGAGAGACTACACCAACATTACGAAAAAAAGTATTATTCATTTACACAAAAACAAGATGAATTGCTGTTATGGCAATTATGGTATTAAAGCTTAATACAGTGTAATCCTAATGAAATGTAACTTTTAAATGTAACGTCTGTCTCACACAGAGCACTCAGGAGGAGTCGTCATGCTTGCAAGCATTAAAAGAAAATATCTTAAAAGACTTTATATCGATATTGTCTTTCTTTGCATATTTGCCTAACTCATCATTTTCTCTAGACAGCAGCTGATTTGAAGTTGCTACGAAATGTCCCTAAAGCATTCTCTGTCCACACAATCTGTCTCCCTGCATGCCGTTACCTCTTGAGGTGGAACTTGAGGTATCTCAGGACGCTCCTGGAGGGCAGGAAGGTGCAGGACATGCAGGCGAGGATCTTCCAGCTGCAGATGTTCCCGGGGCTGCCGGGCTCGGGGGGGCGGGTGGTCTGTTTCATCAGCTGGCAGTACAGCTCGTCCCTCAGAGGCTTCAGATCCTGGCCCGTCTGCAGCAGACCCTGGATCAGCGGCACCGGGTCCGACACGCCCTCCAGGTGCTGCAGGGAGCCGAACACCTTCAGAGCCTCCTCCTGCAGGGTGGTGTAGCTCCTCAGAGCTGAGGGGGGGGGGGGGGGGAAAGTACACACATCCTTTACTCAAGTAGAAGTACAGATACTCATATTTAAAAATACTCTGGTGAAAGTAGAAGTACTGACTAAACTTCTTTACTCAAGTCAAAGTAAAGAGGGCTTTGAAATGTACTTCAGTAAAAAGTACCCATAACTAGCAGCTGTTTTAAAGAGTACCTGACCTCCCTTTATATTAATAGAACAATAATGTCATTGTTAGCTAATGAATGTTTCCATGCTGAACAACGGCAACATGACAACGTTTTCATTGGTCCCTCTTCTTTAGAGAAGACCAGGAAATGATGGATACACGGATCGTGTTCAAATCAATAGGCACGCAATGACTCTAAATAATAATGATCACGCCACCAAACACACATTCAAACTAAAGGAACCAGCCTGTTTGGAACATGTCCACCCTGATTGAACAGCAGCTTCACTCTATAACGTATATTTGCAGATATATCTCAGTCGACTGTCCCTGTTTTTTAAATGATTTCTGAGTCTCACCTGAGTGGTGAATGTGAATGTCTCCGTAGGGCAGCGGCAGCAGGGGCGTGTGCAGAGGGTGGAGGCTGAAGCGCAGGATGGGGTTCCTCTTGTAGACCTGATCCACCACCTCAGAGTTCAGACAGTTCTCCTGCAGAGGGAGAGCAGGGAGGACAAGATGAGTTTCTGAAGCAAAACTAGAGAGGATGCAGTTGGAACGAGGACTTTGAACCGTATATGAAGCAGGTGTGTTTGAGTTAGTGGGATGTGAATATAGTCTAATTCTATCATCTTTCTGTGTATAGTTAACATGGAGCATAAGTTTTCTCTAAGTCCTAACCAGCGTTGTTAAAAAAAAACAAGAAATTATACTTAAAAAACAAGATAACCTTTACGAAAAGCTACATTTAAACCATATTGCATGATAAATAACCCTTTCTCAACAAAAAAAAGGAAACTTAACTATGAAAAGATACTACTAATAACCCCAGTTATTTAGTGACCTGGTGCATTTGTCCAAGTTTGTCAAATATTTGATCATTTACTGGCAGGATTTGTGAGTTGAAATATAATAGCAAGGTAAAGAAAGCTTTGTGAGTGGTCTAAAGCTGTCTACAAAGTTATAAATAATCAATGATCCTTCTCTGCAATAATGAATCTGTAGCTCCCTAATATAGCTTGTGAATGCTAACAGTTCCCACCTTGATGTCCAGGATGAGCTGCTGCGTGGGCGTGTCGATCGGGGCTTTGGTGTCGATGACGTTCTGGATGGAGTTGGCCCAGCGCGTGGCCTCGTTCAGAAGCTTGGAGTACAGACGGTACGAGTGTTTACGGCCGTACACGATCACACTCCAGTATCCTGAGAGGAGGAAGAACACCAGGAACAGACAAGGAAGGAGTGAAGTTAATAAAAACATCGAATAATTAGAATCATTTCTGACGTTTCTGATGTTTGAAGGAAGGTTCAAAAGGGATTGAAGCACTGGCCCGCCGCTTTATTTTATGTGGCCCCGCAAGAGCTTGCTAAGAATATAATACGTTTATTATACGGTTACATGCCACTTTACAGAAGCACGTTGCCCATAAACTACATGTCCCACAATGCATCTCGTTTTGTGACCCTAGACTTCTGCTCTCAGACATGAATTATGAAGTTATTACCCTATCCGATAATAATCCAATGCAGAGGAAATAATGTAATATAATACATTATTTTATATATATTACAACCGGTCCTTTTAGTGCAACCTTAATGCTGATGTGGCCCGCGGTGAAATCTAGTTTGACACCCCTGATTAGAGTAACGAAAGTTCTGGTCCAAAAGTCAGATTCAAGTCGTGTTATTGTCGTTTCTTACCGGTCTCTTTGAAGAGCTTGTCGTCGGGCGGCACCACGGAGCACAGGCTGTTCAGAACCAGCGTTCCCAGCTTCAGGGCGTTGCGCTCCGAGCTCTTGTAGTAGTCCAGGGAGTTGTGTGTGAGCAGGAACCAGCGCTTCTTCAGCTTCAGAGACGCTCTGCTGCTGTTCCTCATCTCTTTGTGCAGCCAGCCTGCAGAGAATCAAGGAGTCAGGTGTTTGAACTTAAACTGATATATTCCTGCACTTTAACTGTATCTGCATATTGAAGTATGAATGCTTGTTGTTTGCATGTTGTCTTCTCCTGAATGTTGTACGTCTCTTGTTGGTTTTTGTATTTTGGATGGCACCTTAAAAAAAAGAGCTGCTCTACTCATCTCATTGTACCCGTATCATGACTAAAGGATTCTATTCTATTCTATTGTGATGCTACTTGTCTCTCCATTTTCAAAACATATCTCTTCACACTGGCATATCCACCCTGAACACATCACTCGTCCTCTGTTTTCCTGTTTTTATTGATTGATTATATTACTTTTGTTTGTGTTTTCTGTTTTGTGTACCTTTTATGACGACCTTCAGAGCCTTTAAAGGTGCCTTTTAAAATAAAATGTATTATTATTATTATTATTATTGTGGCAGTAGCAATTACACTTCCAGTATGAAAGCATGTCATTGTCGGTTCATCTGTAAATTGATTATACTAAATGTTGAATATGCTAAAACCTGCAAATTGAATGGGATTTATTGTAAATATATTTCCTCTTTAAGGATGTTTTACACATGTTCTGTCAAATAAAAAAAAAGGTTTGTTCAGCCTTTTCAAAATAAAAATAAAAATCTTAAAAATGTACAAAGAAATCCCCAACTTCCATGACAAATGTAAAGATGTTCCCATAACATGTCTATATCTGTATATTATTTCTCTGCTTCTGTAAAGCTGATGTATTTTCCGGCCTAAATGCATCCTTTGGCATGAGAAGTGGGAGGAGTTTTAGTGATGGTCATGAGAAGGAGGAGGAGTTTCAGAGATGGTCATGAGAAGTAGGAGGAGTTTCAGTGATGGTCATGAGAAGGAGGAGGAGTTTCAGTGATGGTCATGAAAAGTAGGAGGAGTTTTAGTGATGGTTATGAGAAGTAGGAGGAGTTTCAGAGATGGTTATGAGAAGTAGGAGGAGCTTTAGTGATGGTCATGAGAAGGAGGAGGAGTTTTAGTGATGGTTATGAGAAGTAGGAGGAGTTTCAGAGATGGTTATGAGAAGTAAGAGGAGCTTTAGAGATGGTCATGAGAAGTAGGAGGAGCTTCAGTGATGGTCATGAGAAGGAGGAGGAGCTTTACCTCTGATGATGAACTCCTGGCCGTCCACCCTGGTGTCTCCCTTGGATCTCTGCAGCAGAGTGATCCAGTGGTGCATCTCCTCCGGCGTGTCGGCGTTACAGTGCAGCACGCGGTTCGCTGTGATCATCACGAAGGAGTTCGGTCTGCGACGAGTCAGACAAAGTGTTAATGACCATGAGAAGAAGAAGAAGAAGAAAAAGAAGAAAAGAACGATCAGTGCACACTGACAGGATAAAGGACCAATCACAAACTGTACGATCCCATTATCTGGTTTACATTAGTGGAATAAAGCTCAAGTACCTACGTACTTTCCTGCAAATGTCCTAAACAAAATATCCTGTAATTAATCAATGACATAGTACCTCAAAATAATGAGAAACGTCAATTATTTAAAAAAAAACGATTATTTATTATTATTTTTGTAAAATACAGCAGCACTCCCTAGTGGCTCAATTGAGAACAACACAAGATACTTTATCCTGATGCTTTTAAAGGGACCTTTAACTTGTGTGTGTCTCAGAGTGTGTGTCTCAGAGTGTGTGTCTCAGAGTGTGTGTCTCAGAGTGTGTGTCTCAGAGTGTGTGTAACAGAGTGTGTGTAGCAGAGCAGGTGATGTGTCCTCACCTCTCTGGATTATCTGACGCACACACTGAGTCGATCATCCCGACGTCCAGCGTGCCCTGAAGAGAGAGAGAGAGAGAGAGAGAGAGAGAGAGAGAATGATGAATTCATGAATTGAATGACTGTGTTCCTTGTAAAAACTTCTTTCATATTTTTTGGACCTACTATGCTATGACCTTTACTACATTTTTTCTCCATCCCATAATACTCACCACAGCGTTCTGGGGGTTGGCCTGCTCGTCGTGCATCTCTCTGATCTCCTGCTCTGTGGAGCCGTGCACCTGACTCAGCACGCTGTACCACTGGCTGTAACCATGGAAACATCATCATCATCTTCATCATCATCATCATCATCACCATCATCATCATCATCACCATCATCATCACCATTCATACATGTTTATGTTATGTATACAAAGCACATTTCTTGTATGTGAAAAGTCAATAAAGATTCTGATTCTGATTGCATTGTTATTATTAAATAAGTGTTATGTTCCCGTACATGTTTTGTTTTGTTCATCACATGATATCAGAAACAAACTGACCTGGCGTCCTCTGGAGTTTCTGCGATCAGCTGGAAGGTCCTCTCTGGCATCACGATGTTGATCCCGTTCTCCTTACCCGTGTTGTCGATGATCTCTCTGCAGAGCACAGAAACACATTATTAATAGGTCATCTTTACACAAGTGTGTAACCTGCAGGGGTCAGCTTCATATATATATGTCCAAAGACTATATTCAGAAGAAGATATAAACTGATTTTGTCGAAAAGTCATAGAAACTCATAGAAAGTCATAGTATAGCATGTCATATAAAAGAAAATCAAAAAGTCATTATATATCATGTCATTATAGTCATATAGTTTGTCATAAAAGTCATAAATAGGTCATGAAAAGTCCTAGTATTGTAAGTCGTAACTTCTAGTATAATATTTCATAATAATCATCAAAACTTCAAAGTATAGTATGTCATAAATAAGTCATAAAAAAGTCAAAGTATGGTATGTCAAAATGTAAAAAAAGTCAATAAAAAGGTAAAATAATTCGGTGTCATAGTAAAAAAAATACATACAAAAATCAAAGTAAAGTATCTCATTAAACATCTTAAAAAGGTCTAAGTATAATATGTAACAAAAATCCTAAAAACTCATAGTATAATAGGTCATAACTTTAAAAAAATTGCAGTATAATAAGTCATACAAATTCATAGATAACTGATAAAAAGTCGTGGTATAGTTAGGCAAAAATAGGACATAGAAAATCAATGCATAGTAAGTCATGAAGTCATAAATAAGTAATGTAAAGTCATAGTCTGGTGTATCATAATAAATCATACAAAACTAAAATGTTAGTTTGTCATAAAAGTCATAAATAGGTCATAAAAAGTCCTAGTTTTGTAAGTCGTAACTTCTAACCAAAGTGTAGTATGTCATAAATAAGTCATAAAAAGCCATCGATAACTGATCAAAAGTAATACTATAGTTAGGCAAAAATAGGACATAGAAAATCAATGCATAGTAAGTCATAAAAGTCCTGAATAAGTCATAGAATAGAAAGTCATAAAAGTCATACATAAGTAAATTGTAAAGTCATAGTCTGGTATATCAAAATAAATCATAAAAAAGTCAAATTTCTGTTTGTCATACAAGTTATAAAAAATCATGGTAAAATATCGAATAAAAAAATCGAAATGTGAGTCATAGCTTTTTCTGTTTTTCTTAGCTACAGTATATATTACTCCTTACTTCAATTTCAATCTTTATTTATTTATACAGCACATTTAAAACCACCTCAGTTGACCAAAGTGCTGTACAGCGAACAAACACAGTATAAAATAACACAATGGGAGTAAAATAATAACTTACTTGGCGTCGCGCATGTCCAGCACGCCCTTCATCTTCTCCTCTCCGTCGTTCTCGAAGTACATGAGTTTGCTCTGTCTCAGAACGAACCAGCGCTTCTTCCAGTTCCTCCGGGACAGCGTGGACGAGCCGCCGCCCTTCTTGTGAAGCCATCCCTGCTTCAGAGCCTCCTGCTTCGCCCTGAACCAGAGGAACGTCTCGTCCTTCAAAACACACCAGCGCCTCTTCCACGTGTTGATCAGGCCGCCTGCACACGGAGAAATTACATTATTTAAAGATAATTCGCCATCTTCAGATCCCTAAAACGTAACATTAAAAAGTCATTATATATCATGTCATTATAGTCAGTCATAAAAGTCATAAATAGGTCATAAAAAGTCTGAGTATATGATCTCTCTGCAGAGCACAAGAACACATTAATAGGTTATCTTTCCATAAGTGTGGCACGTCCAGGGGTCAGCTTGCTATATATATGTCAAACAACTATATTCATAAAATTCATAGAAAGTCATAGAATAGTATGCCATAGAAAAAACTCCACTACAGTTCAGAGGTAACTGGTGTACTTTTACTCCACTACATGTATTTAATAATAATTAATTCCTTATATTTATTATAGCGCTTTTTCCATGACCCAAAGCGCTTTACAGATACACATTGTATACATACATGTAACGGTCATGGACTGTGGACAATACCCACAGGAGCAAATTCCGGTGAAGTGTCTTGCCCAAGGACACAACGGCCTGACGCAGTGGCGGCGGGAGCGGGTTTCGAACTGGAGTTCCCCAACGCCCCCTTGATCTGATGATCAAACGCACAGCCCGCTGCGCCACTCCGCCCCCAATTTAATTTTAAATAATTTAATCCCTTTAGTTACTTCACAGATGTGGATGAATGATGTGAAATATAACCAAGTGTTAAATCAGACTTTAGTTCCACCTGGAGTAAATCCACAAGCTACCCTGCAGTATACAAAGTCATTCAAACTAGCTGCACCTTTACCAGCTTTGAGAACACTTTCATGATCAATCATTATAATCAAAACACATCATTTAACCCTTTAAAAACACATTATTAGTTGGGTGGGTAGAAGGGGGTATCATGCACCCCCCTGAAATATACTTCTAATCAGCTTTTCTAGATTGGAAAAAGTGTGTAGAAAACGATTAGCTATGTTAAAAAGTTGGCAAATTGTCCCACGTATATTTTTTTCCCAAATTAGTGTTTATTTACCCTAAAAATCGAGTTTCACTCTTTTTACACCTTTCACTATATCTCAGCCATTATTGCAGATAACTGAACAAATAAGGTATCCAGATCCATGTTTTGAGGGTCAAGGAACACAATAAAACTATTCTTAAAGTGATCACATGTGTCTGTGGCATGCTATTATGCTAATTAGTGCCGCCATTACAAGAAAATAGCATTTTAGTCTTGTACCAAGAACGGTGTATTTTGCACCGACACAGAAATATACTTATAATCAGTGTTTCCTAAGTGGAAAAAGTATGTAGAAAATGATGAGCTATGTTAAAATGTTGTCTGTATGTCCCACATGTATTTTTTATGCAAATTAGTGTCACCATTACCAAAAACGGAATTTTCACACTTTTCACTCTATCTCAGCCAATATTGCAGATAAATGAACAAATAATGTGTCTAGACCCATGTTTTGATGGTCAAAGATCACAATAAAACTATTCCCAAAGTGATCACATGTATCTGTGGCATGCTATGCAAATTAAGAGACGCCAATATTGCAGTACAGTAAGTGAACAAATAAGGTGTCGAGACAGATGTTGTGTATTTAACCAATATTTATTTGTTTTGTACTAGCCTACAGCAAGGGTCAAACATCATAATATAAGTATTGATGTGACTACTCTTTCCCATTCCAGATAAGCAGTCAAGGTTTGGCTCTCCACTATCTGATTAATACTCAATCATCGTTTTCAATGCTATCATCAGAGTCAAATTCCTCTTCCTCTTCCTGTTCACGCTCTGTCGTGTCCAGGAGATCAACCAGGGAGGTTGGCAGGACAGGACCACAGGACCACACCGGTCTCAACACTCCATCAGTCCTCATCCATCCCTGCTCCTCATCATAGGGGTTTGGTTTTTCTAAAATTGATTCATCAGCTCGCTTGTTCAGGGCGACGCGATGGTTCACACGTTGGACGTGCGGCTTCAGAGCATCATAGCATGGAGGAAGGCGAGCCAGGTCAACCTTAGACTTGGCAGTGAGTTTATCGTCCTGCCCCACCATTTTGCGCAGCAACTTGGCACGGACTACGTCCACTGAAGACTCATGACTCTCTCCATATATCAGACAGGTGAATTGCTCCAACTGCTTCAGCACCTCAGGCTTGACATTCCAGTTGTCACCGAGTTGACTGAACGCCCTGTGAAACTTTGGGTTCTTCTCCAGCTTTTTCAAGGGCCCCACCTTCCCCTTCCCTTTGAAGGCACTGGTGCAGTCTTCTCCGCTGAACACATGGAATCCAAGAAGTGTGGCACAGTAGTCTTCTCCCAGGGATTCTGCAAGCTCAGAGAGGTTGAGAAGTTGTCTATGTTTCCCTGACCCCGTATCCAGGTATATAGTCAGCCTGATGGCATGAGCGTGGTAAAGAAGAATCACAAAGATATCTGTGTCAGGTGTTCTGACTACAGCATTCTTGTACCCAAGGGCAGCAGCATGATGAAGGTAGAGTACCACCCTTGTATCAGTCTCTTCCTGGTTGCTGTAGATTGTGGGGAGCTCACGTACCTCAACCTGATACACAATGGGATATTGCACTTTGATCAACAATGACAGAGACTAGACACAAATCACAGATAATCACTTAGAGTATAATTTAACCATCAATCACTTTTAATATGGGCTTTCAATTTACCTTGCCGTTTGAGGAGAGAAGTTGATGGGCTCTCCCTTCCACGATCAGCACTGCCATTTCTGTTCTCTCCAGCCTTGAAGCTGCCTGTTGATCACTCCATACTCGCAGCAGGAGCTGGCAGAGTTGCTTTTTGTTGTCATCATTTGTGAGAAACATCTTGAAGTCATATGGCTTCCTGGTTGCTGGTCCAGCCAAAATGATCTTCTCTGAACTGCCACGTCTCAACCTCTCCTGTGCTTTGATAGATCCTGGATGGTAACTGTCAGTCGAGAACAAAAAGTGCTTTTTGGCCACCATCTGATCAAGCACTTGTAGGCATATCTCCCCACATGTTGGGGGAAGGTTGGTGAGGACATGGAGCAGAGCCATGCCATCCTGGATGAACAGGGCATCCTTAGGGTATGGCAGATCCTTTGGGGTGGTGTCCTCCAGATTGTAGTGCAGAAGAGCCGCTTTATTAGTCTTGGAGAAAAACCCATCTGGTGTCCCAAGGCTAGGGGGCACAGGCATTAGGGGATATTTCATGAGTTCCTCCAAGACCAATGGGTCCTCTGCACGTTGTGACTTGACAAGGAGCAGGAAAGCAAGATTGTTTTGCTCCTGATACTGGATGACCTGGAATGATATTGATAGTGTATCATTAACAAATATGGGGTCACAACAATAAAAAATAAAGGTTATTAAATTAATTTCAATAATACAGTAGACCTCAGGTATTGGAACATCTCATTACCTTTCCCTGTGAGGATGTGAGGGTGACCTTTTTGTTACAAGCTTCCATGGTCTTGAGCTTCTTCTTTTTGATTGGGTCAAAGAAGCTAGCTGGCTCTCTGCTCTGTAGCCGTTTGATGAACTCAGCTTTAGCAGCCTTGTCCACAGTTTCTGCTTGTAGCACGTCCATCTCGACCTCCATGAGGACAGGAGCACCAGAAGCCAGGGAGTAGAGCCTGTCCTTGTCTGAGATGGTGAAGGGGTTCCTAAAGTTCCTAATTGTCACGATGGTTCGCTGAATGGCCTCCTCACCCTTTTTGACCTCTGCCTTCTCCAGCTCCCGATGTTTCCCCGCCCTTGGGCAGTCTGGGTCTTTGATGAGGTCCACCATCTCAAGGGTCTTTTGATAAAACTGTGCCCGTGTGGAGGTTGTTTGACACCACCTCTGGTATGCCCCAAACTGGCTGTATAGTCCAGTGAAGCCACCTTAAAAGTATGAAACAAATATGTGATCTACTGCTCCCACACAATAAGTTACATGCATTTTAATTCAGAAATCATCAAATAAAATGTGGTTTTGTGAGAGCAGTATACAATTGTATTATATAATATAATAATCTTGATACAATGTCTGTATATCTGTTCAATGTCTGGGTAAAAATCATAATGTACCTGATGATTTGGCAAAGCGCATGAACGTTTCCTCCATGGTCTTGTCGACTGCACTAATGGCGCATTTCCACTACACGGTCGGCCTCGGCCACGCTCGATACGGCTCGGTACGGCTCGGTACGGCTTGGCCGCGTTGGGCCTTAACAGGGCCGACTCACTTCATGCTGTTGTGAGTGTGGACGGTCGGAGCATATACTGCGTTAGCTTAGCCAATCTCCATCTAGAAAAACACGCATTTTAAAAGGTTTTTCGCCTGCCGTCTGTCTGCAGACTTGACAAAGCATTAATTCATGGTTTTTACTAACCGGTATCAGTATGTTGTTACTTCGGCATCATTTTGAAACGTGTATTACAATTAAATCACGGTCAAATATGTCCATCTTGTTGTAGTTGTAGCCCCCTTGCCAGCGCTCCTCTCTCTAGTTTAGCATACTCAGCCCGACTCAGCCCTGTTTGTTGGCCCCGATAGAACCACAATTTTGTCGGGCCAGAAAAGAGGTGAAAAAGTGGCCCCGGGCCGGGCCGGGCCGGGCCGTAACTAGGCCTAGTGGAAGCGCAACCAAAAACGGGCACGGCATGACACGGCACGCTTAAAGCGAGCTCCGCGCTGTAGTGGAAATGCGCCATAAGTGCCCCCGGTATCATTGAGCGGGCCACCGCAATTGCACCCTTAGAAAGCAGGTCTTTGGCCCCTGGGTGTGTGTTCTCCAGGTTTGTCAGATAGACCTCCAGCCAAGTCAGATATCTGCAGATAAGGAAAGGCACAGATTACACATAGAAACATTTATTTTCAAAGCTTGTCTCATAATGCAAATTTGGTAAATTGTCATGTAAATAGCACAAACCTTGAGTAGTTGTGTCCATCAAATGCAAAGAAGATATTTGCCATCTCTCCATTGCATTTGTGAAACAACTGGATGTTGTTGGTCTTAACGGAGTGGAGTAGCATGAAGACAAGATGACAGTGGTTAATAAATGACATCCATAAGGCAGCTGTCTTTCCCAGGTGACCCTTGAGCACCTTCTCCTCATAGGCGTGATACTTCTCGATGAGCGTTAGAGTTGAGCGGTCTTTGAGGGCTTCATCGAGGTGCTCTCGATTGCAAGACTGGGTCATGTTGAGAAGTGCAGCAGGGTCAGTGATAAGGACGCTTTCCTCCTCAATGAACCGCTCCATCAACAGCCTCTCCATTGATTCGCACAGTTTTGAGGCAAAAGAGGGACTTTGCGTATGCCTTTCCACTTAAAACACCTTTGACGCCGGGTACCTGGCAGCCTCTCTGCTCTGCCACCTCTCCTATCTGCATGTGGTTATGTGTGTGCATGTATATCCTCTGTGTTTGTGCATGTATATCCTCCCCTGTGTGTGTAATGTGTGTTAACACAACAGAGTGGGGAAAGACATTTCCCTGTAAGGGATTAATAAAGTGTGTCTTCTTCTTCTTCTTCTTGAGGGATCCACTTGTCACTAGTTGTGCCTCAAACAGAATCTCTGCATATCCAGAACCACACATTTTGCGGCGTGTGAGCATCCCAATATAGTTCTTTTTTTTTTTGGTGTGAACGCAACTTTTCGGAACTACATCGGAACTATTGTGGGAAAATTACTCCGGTGTGAAAGCGCCTAAAGACAATCTGTTATACAATCAGAACTTTTGAAAATTATAACAGATGTTCTGAGAGCAGCCATCATGTTCCACAGTTTAACCTGTTAAGCCCAGGCCTCAGGCTCGAAAAATGACATGCCCAGAATGAATGATTATATCTTCACAACTATAAGGGGTATATGAATAATATTTTGTATCAAAGCAATGATACACCTGTGAGTTGGCTGTAGAAGTGTCAGAATCAATATAGATCTTGCTGTGTCAGAGTAAATTCAGATTAAACATAGTAAAAAAAAAATATTCTAATCTCCGCCTAAAAAAACCTATAACCTATTTCACTATTTATAGTGAAAACTACCCCTTAATGATGGAAACCCTCTTTCCTGGCTGCTAATTCAGTGAGTTTTGTCGTACAGTGATGAGACTTATACCAATGGAATCTGATAAATCTCAGCTTTCATATGATATGTCATTTATGCAGATAGCATGAAGTAGAAAAATCGCCAGTCATGTCCTAATGTGGCGTTAGCGTTAGCGTTCGTTAAGTGCTGATTTAGACGCTTGGTGTTGGAATTGTGTTTCGTTTAGGTTAAAATGGTTATTATCATCTGTTAGCTTAGTTTCTTCCCGTTAAGTGGGTATGCAACGTTAATAGGTTGTTACATTGTAACAAGCCCTGGGACGCTGTGGTACCGGGGGCAATCGGGCTTAACGGGTTAAGAATACTGCCCTGCAGTTTTGCATTACAATTACTGCCTTTTTTTTAATTAACATTAGCTGTACAGCTAGCTAGCTACCTAGCACTACCTAGCTAATAGCTTTATTCAACAAGCTACACCACTAGCTATCCCTCATTCACGTCACTGTTAGTTAGTTAGCTAACGTTAGCTAGCTAATAGTTTACCATATTTTACTGCAGTTAGCCTCTGCAGGGCAGAATAACACTAACACATGTTCTAGTGTGTAGCCTACTTTGGGCTGCAAAATGATGTGTTAACAACAATTAAGCTAGAAACCTATATAAAACATACAAAACACATGAGTCTAGTTGAGTTAGCTACTTACCTTGTTTGTTTGAAGGTTGAATGTGTGTGTGTAGCCAAGTCAGCTACTTGTTTGTTTTTGGCGGGAAAAAAGGCGGGAATTTTCACTACTGCCAGCGCTGTATACTAGCATGCCACAGATACATGTGATCACTTTGGGAATAGTTTTATTGTGATCTTTGACCATCAAAACATGGGTCTAGACACATTATTTGTTCATTTATCTGCAATATTGGCTGAGATAGAGTGAAAAATGTGAAAATTCCGTTTTTGGTAATGGTGACACTAATTTGCATAAAAAATACATGTGGGACATCCAGACAACATTTTAACATAGCTCATCATTTTCTACATACTTTTTCCACTTAGGAAACACTGATTATAAGTATATTTCTGTGTCGGTGCAAAATACACCGTTCTTGGTACAAGACTAAAATGCTATTTTCTTGTAATGGCGGCACTAATTAGCATAATAGCATGCCACAGACACATGTGATCACTTTAAGAATAGTTTTATTGTGTTCCTTGACCCTCAAAACATGGATCTGGATACCTTATTTGTTCAGTTATCTGCAATAATGGCTGAGATATAGTGAAAGGTGTAAAAAGAGTGAAACTCGATTTTTAGGGTAAATAAACACTAATTTGGGAAAAAAATATACGTGGGACAATTTGCCAACTTTTTAACATAGCTAATCGTTTTCTACACAATTTTTCCAATCTAGAAAAGCTGATTAGAAGTATATTTCAGGGGGGTGCATGATACCCCCTTCTACCCACTAGACTATATTGATCAAAATGGAAATTGTCTTTCCTCTTGTACTGTAAGAGTCTGAGGTAGTTTTGAGGTGTGTACTAAGGGGATACCTTTGATGAAGAGGAAGCTGTGGAAGTACGGCAGCGTGACGCAGCTGTAGACGGAGTCCCGTCGATACGAAAGCTCGTCATCGGTGTCGAACCTGTCAAAGTCGTCTTCGCTGTCCTCAAACTGGAATAGAAACAAACAGAAATTAGACATTTAAGACATAACGAGCACACATTTTAAAAAGGTCCAATCGTTTTTACTTGGCAGGATTCTGTATCAGCTCAATGATGATGCAACCATTCAGGTCAAAAGATGCTCAATTCCATGTTTCTCCCAATGGCAAACAGTATGTAAATGTCTGTAACGCCTTGTTTTGTAAACTTAGACTCTGTATGATGGGTTAATGCTGACTTTGAGGGGTCGCAAAGACTGGAAAAGTTCTATATAACAGCAGTCCATTTACCATTTTGTCCGACTTAGTGAAAAGTATTACATCTAAATGAAGCCTAGTTGAGAACAATGACCAGTTTGGCTTTAACTGACCCTTTTAACAGCAACCATCTACCAACAAGTTACTTCACAGATGTGGATGAATGATGTGAAATCTAATCAAGTGTTAAATCAGACTTTAGTTCCACCTGGAGTAAATCCACAAGCTACCCTGCAGTCTACAAAGTCATTCAAACTAGCTGCACCTTTACCAGCTTTGAGAACACTTTCATGCATCAATCATTATCAAACATATAATTTAACCCTTTAAAAACACTTAATTGTTCAAAATAGACATTTTTAAACAACTCACCGAGGACTGAGCCCCGTCCGAGCTGAAGCGATACGCCCCTGAGCTGTTGTAGGTGCCGACAGACCCTCGGTAGTCCGGAGACCACTGCCCACTGCGAGGGTTTGAGAAGGCCACGCTGCCACTGGAAACAATGGCGCCTTCATCGTAGTCGTCCTGGTCGTAATCCGAGTCCTCGTCCGGAGGAATGAGCTCCACCAGATCTTCTGACTGCGCCTCGGACGAAGCTTTGGGAAAGACAAGGCAAGTTTATTGATACAGCACCTTTCAACACGAGGCAATTCAAAGTGCTTTACAAACATGAAAGACATTAAGAAACATATTGTACTTTTTACTGAAGAACATTTCAAAGCCCATACTTCTTTACTTTTACTTGAGTAAAGAAGTTTAGTCAGTATTTTTAAACACGAGTATCTGTACTTCTACTTGAGTAAAGGATGTGTGTACTTTTGCCATTCCTGGATATAAATATTTAAATGAAAAGCAGCTGCAAAATGAAAAGTCTTCAGCCTGGATTTGAAAGTAATAAGAGTTGCACCTTTGGGGTGGCAGAAGGCTGAGTCCCCGCTGGATGAAGCACTGGGAGGCACTGGAAGTAAAGGCAGCGCTGGGTGAAGCAGAGGGGTTGGTGGAAGTGGAGGGGTTACTCCATCATTGGCGTACGGGTCTTCTTCAGACGAGTCGTCGCTCGTTCGAATCCCGCTTGTCCGCTGTCCGTCCGAATGGCCGTGTTCACTCGGGTTCGGCGAGTCTTTGAACGCGTCATCGTCCGCTCCAAACCCTTCGTCCACCTCTTCCTCGTCGCCTCTCCTCCTCCGTCCACCCTCCTTCTCCTCTTCTTCCTCCACTCCCAAGGAGCTCTCGATGTTCCTCACGCACTCGTCGATCTCGTCGAAGTTCAGCGAGTCGAGGAACTGCTGCGCCGCCTTGCACGCTTCGTCCTCCAGGCGCCGGAGCTCCTGATCCCGGAGAAGCTGAAGGCGGTTTAACGAAGCTTCGGTCAGAGAGAGTTCCTGACGCTCCTTCTGCCTCTGGAGGGACTGGATTTCCCGCTCTAGGCGCAGGATCTCCTCCACCTGATTGGCCTCGTGAGGACGGATCACCTCCTCCTGATTGGATGCATCCTCTCCAGTTTCTCCTGACTCCATCTCACCCTCCGTTCTGGGTGGTGTTTCAGCTGCTATTGCAGACTGAAGAAGAGCCAAAGAGGCCAACTTCTCCTCCAGCTGAAGCTCCTGAAGTCGTCTGATCTCCTCAGCCTGAAGACGGAGAAATAAACACATTTAGGAGTTAGGGATAGAGGCAGAGGTGGGAAGTAGTGGAGTACAAATACTTCGTTACTGTACTTAAGTACATGTTTCTGGTATCAGTACTTTACTCCACTACTTATTCTTCTGTAGACTTTTTACTTTCTACTTCTTACATGTTGAACCCAAATACCTGTACTTTCTACTTCTTACATTTTGAACACAAATACCTGTACTTTCTACTTCTTACATGTTGAACACAAATACCTGTACTTTCTACTTCTTACATGTTGAACCCAAATACCTGTACTTTCTACTTCTTACATGTTGAACACAAATACCTGTACTTTCTACTTCTTACATTTTGAACACAAATACCTGTACTTTCTACTTCTTACATGTTGAACACAAATACCTGTACTTTCTACTTCTTACATGTTGAACACAAATACCTGTACTTTCTACTTCTTACATGTTGAACACAAATACCTGTACTTTCTACTTCTTACATTTTGAACACAAATACCTGTACTTTCTACTTCTTACATGTTGAACACAAATACCTGTACTTTCTACTTCTTACATGTTGAACCCAAATACCTGTACTTTCTACTTCTTACATGTTGAACCCAAATACCTGTACTTTCTACTTCTTACATGTTGAACCCAAATACCTGTACTTTCTACTTCTTACATGTTGAACACAAATACCTGTACTTTCTACTTCTTACATGTTGAACACAAATACCTGTACTTTCTACTTCTTACATGTTGAACACAAATACCTGTACTTTCTACTTCTTACATGTTGAACACAAATACCTGTACTTTCTACTTCTTACATGTTGAACACAAATACCTGTACTTTCTACTTCTTACATGTTGAACACAAATACCTGTACTTTCTACTTCTTACATGTTGAACCCAAATACCTGTACTTTCTACTTCTTACATGTTGAACTCAAATACCTGTACTTTCTACTTCTTACATGTTGAACACAAATACCTGTACTTTCTACTTCTTACATTTTGAACACAAATACCTGTACTTTCTACTTCTCACATGTTGAACACAAATACCTGTACTTTCTACTTCTCACATTTTGAACACAAATACCTGTACTTTCTACTTCTCACATGTTGAACACAAATACCTGTACTTTCTACTTCTTACATGTTGAACACAAATACCTGTACTTTCTACTTCTTACATGTTGAACACAAATACCTGTACTTTCTACTTCTTACATGTTGAACACAAATACCTGTACTTTCTACTTCTTACATGTTGAACTCAAATACCTGTACTTTCTACTTCTCACATTTCCCAAACAGGCTGGTTCCTTTAGTTTGAATGTGTGTTTGGTGGCGTGATCATTATTATTTAGAGTCATTGCGTGCCTATTGATTTGAACACGATCCGTGTATCCATCATTTCCTGGTCTTCTCTAAAGAAGAGGGACCAATGAAAACGTTGTCATGTTGCCGTTGTTCAGCATGGAAACATTCATTAGCTAACAATGACATTATTGTTCTATTAATATAAAGGGAGGTCAGGTACTCTTTAAAACAGCTGCTAGTTATGGGTACTTTTTACTGAAGTACATTTCAAAGCCCTCTTTACTTTGACTTGAGTAAAGAAGTTTAGTCAGTACTTCTACTTTCACCAGAGTATTTTTAAACACGAGTATCTGTACTTCTACTTGAGTAAAGGATGTGTGTACTTTTGCCATCTCTGGTTAGTGGTTAACCCCCCTTCCATTTCTCATTTATTGTGCTCCTGGTACCCAAAAAGTCCCACTCATTTTCTCATTACAAATATAAAAGTCTACTCATAAAGTGAGAAAATAAATACACAAATTCAAAAGTTATAACATTTCCAAATGTCATTTGTCCTGAGTTCACTGCAGCAATTTCCGTCCCTTGCATCTTTTTTCATCTTACTAAAATGGAAAACTAATTCCTTTTTTCCACCAAATGAACTATAAATAATAATAATCAGCTTCATCGTACCTCTGCGGCGAGTCTCTCAGCCTCCATCCTCTGCCTCTCCCTGCACACACACACACACACACACACACACATTAGCAGACTGAAACAGAAGATAAGATTTACAGAAAACAAAAAGTAATTACATTTCCCGTCCCTCGTTGCACTTAAATCCCGTAAAACCCATCAAGAATAAAGATTGTTAAGGTCAGACAGGAAGTGTACGTCATTCATATAAAACCCACTTTTTACTTTGGAGTAATACTATCAAAGTAAGTGTACATAAATGCATGCTGGTAAATGATAATCAGGGTGTCTACTGGGAGCTTGAATCATCGTGGTTTCATTTTACACTAATTAGAGTCCGCCTCCCTCGGGGCTGCAGATAGCGTTCAGGAAGCAGAGGTCACGTCCTGGATATTATTTCTGGGAATTGGGGATTTTAGGAAGTGCACACGTGTCGACCTTTTAAGCCTGTCAGAGTCACTTTTCATACAGTATCTAGGACACACATACTGTATAGGAAGGTGGGCTTTTTAAACAGACAGACAGACAGACAACAATAGCGGAGAAACAATAAAATAATGTGTGGTGTACAGAGAAATGTAGGCAGTAGTGTTCTGTGTGGGGAAAACATTGAAATGATAATGTCTTAAAGTGGACCTATCATGCTATATTTGAATAATATAGTGTAGGACCATACCTATATAAGGCATATTTATACTTTTTTTTTTTCAAAATACCAAACAGATCATGCATTTTAGCCATGCCTCATTTTGCTCAATTTGACCATTTCTAGCTCTGTTTTAGCAAGGGCTGATTCAGTGAGAACAGCACCACCTACAGGCCTGGCATATGTACTACAGCGTCTCCAGCGCTTTCGAACGTCAATGGCCGTGGCTGTCTCCTCCTGATTGGTGGAGTTGGCCCAATAGCCGTAGCGCCACCGTCCTGACGTCAGGACAGTGTTCAAATCTGGATCAGTTTTTATCAGATCCGTTGCAGCCCCTTTTTTAGAGATTTGGGTATGGAGGAAAATAGAGAGGGTTGTGTTTTCTGACACTTGGTGAGTTCCCTGGAACACCGGGGACACATATTCATGTAGAAAAGACGTACAAAAGTGCATTTTGCATGATAGGTCCCCTTTAAAGAAGACATATTATGCTGCTTTTGTGGTTCGTATTTGTATGTCGTGTCTCTACTGTAACATGTTTCCATGCTTTAATGTTCAAAAAGACAGAAAGCGTTTCCTAACAGTTGAAAAGCTGTCTTAAATTTGAAGTAAAAACAAGTGTTTGCGATGTCCATTAATCTGGTGACATGCACCACACTGAGTATTAAGTGTTAAAAAAGGATGCATGACAGCAACTCCTCCCCCTCCTCTTGTCTCTTGTCTCCTACCTCTCCATCTCTTCCTCCCTCCTCCTGCAGAGCTCTTCCTCCTCCTCCCTCCTCTTCCTCTCCTTTTCCTCCTCCTCCCTCCTCTTCCTCTCCTCCAGCAGCTGGCTGAAGGCCCGGCGAGCTCTTTGGCCTCGGACTCGTTTCTGGAAGGTGAGCGTGGCCCAGCGAAGCAACAGGAACTTCCTCCTCCAGTAAAACGCCCGGTAGTTCTTCTGAATGACCACAATGCACTGCAGCAGCTTCCTGTACTGCTTCCTGTGTGTCGGGGAGAGAAACAGGACATCAATGCAGTTCATTCACAACTTAGAATTTAGTTTTTTAAGGCTTTATAGTAATACAAATGTTTAGTTCATGTTGAGTTTTGAATATTGACCTGGCGATGTATCCTGTGACGTGAGCCTGGATGATCATGGCGGCTCTCAGCACCTCCATCTCTCTCTGCTTCTCCAGGCGGTGCTCAAGAGACTCCCGGAGAAACACCTGGGAGAGAGGAAGGTACATCATTAGAGGAAGCAAGAGTAGAGGAAACGAGAGGAGAGGAACCCAGAGAGGAGGAAACGAGACTAGAGGATTGGAAGGGGGAGGATGGAGGAAAGAGGAAATACGCGCCTCCACCGCTAAGCTAAAGGTGGCTAATGTTGGGCTATAAAGGAACTACAGCACGGTCACATGACTTCACGTCACCACCGCTAAGCTAAAGGCGGCTAATGTTGGGCTATAAAGGAACTACAGCACGGTCACATGACTTCACGTCACCACCGCTAAGCTAAAGGCGGCTAATGTTGGGCTATAAAGGAACTACAGCACGGTCACATGACTTCACGTCACCACCGCTAAGCTAAAGGCGGCTAATGTTGGGCTATAAAGGAACTACAGCAAGGTCACATGACTTCACGTCACCACCGCTAAGCTAAAGGCGGCTAATGTTGGGCTATAAAGGAACTACAGCACGGTCACATGACTTCACGTCACCACCGCTAAGCTAAAGGCGGCTAATGTTGGGCTATAAAGGAACTACAGCACGGTCACATGACTTCACGTCACCACCGCTAAGCTAAAGGCGGCTAATGTTGGGCTATAAAGGAACTACAGCACGGTCACATGACTTCACGTCTCCACCGCTAAGCTAAAGGTGGCTAATGTTGGGCTATAAAGGAACTACAGCACGGTCACATGACTTCACGTCACCACCGCTAAGCTAAAGGAGGCTAATGTTGGGCTATAAAGGAACTACAGCACGGTCACATGACTTCACGTCACCACAGCTAAGCTAAAGGTGGCTAATGTTGGGCTATAAAGGAACTATAGCACGGTCACATGACTTCACGTCACCACCGCTAAGCTAAAGGTGGCTAATGTTGGGCTATAAAGGAACTACAGCACGGTCACATGACTTCACGTGACCACCGCTAAGCTAAAGGTGGCTAATGTGGGGCTATAAAGGAACTACAGCACGGTCACATGACTTCACGTCACCACCGCTAAGCTAAAGGTGGCTAATGTGGGGCTATAAAGGAACTACAGCACGGTCACATGACTTCACGTCACCACCGCTAAGCTAAAGGAGGCTAATGTTGGGCGTGATGATGTTTAGTCGTCTCATTTAGACACTTGTTAGCAACTGCCATTTTTTTATTCACCAGTGGGGTATTTACTGACATATTTTATGTCGTATAATTAAAATCTCTTCAGCTTGTTAACCACAGACCTTATTCCAGACTAACAACCGAAAAAACATTCAGAAAACCATTGCAAAAGGGACAGGAAGTGCTAAAATGCTGAATAATTTCCGTGTTTTAGGACTCATTCCTGCACCACTCTACTATGTATGTAACTAAAATTGTATATTAAAAATACGCTATTCAACGGCAGCCCTTTAGTCTTTTTTTACAGGCAGAATAAAAAATGGAGACTGCTGAATGGCATTAAAAGCCCCATTCTCTTCTTAACAAATCACATCCATAACTGTATTACACACACATTATGAATTTGCAAGTGAACAGAATAAAAAGAGACAGTCCCTCCTTTTTCTATAACATCCCCATTTTAACAGACAGAGGAACAATCGGCGTGAACAAAGCCGGCGACGTAAATCAAATTCAGACCCTCCTCTTCTTTTGTGCACCACCGCAGATTACTGCAGCCCGTGATTTGGGCGACTTCTCTCTGTGAAAAGAGATTTTACCGACATTTAGTGCAGCTGCCAGTTACAGAGCCAAGCTGCCGTCCATAGAGAGAAACCCACGTTAATCCAATCAGGGAGGGGGGGGGGGGAATGAGATATGGGACGAGGGAGACAGTGGGGAAATGTCACGGTTCTCCTGTTGAATGATGTACTCTCTGTGTGTGTGTGTGTGTGTGTGTGTGTGTGTGTGTGTGCGTGTGTGTGTGTGTGTGTGTGATGTTGGCAGAGTGACATCCTCAGTGGTGAAGCACTAATGAGATTTTAGCAGAGGAAATGTAAACTCGTCAGGGTGATTTGGACGTCACTAACGAGCAGGTTAATTAAAAAAGGAAACATGCAGTTCATGGCCCTGCACACACACACACACACACACACACGCATGCACACACACACGCATGCACACACACACTGAAACATACACACAAACGCATGCACACAACACACACACACACACACACACACACACACACACACACACACACACACACACACACACACACACACACACACACACACACACACACACACACACACACACACACACACACACACACACACACACACACACACACACACACACACACACACACACACACACACACACACACACACACACACACACACACACACACACACACACACACACACACACACACTTCCTAAGTACACATGAATCACACATGCTCTGAAAGTGTGTCCTCATGCACACATTTGCATCCCAATGGATCGAACAGCTAATCCCCTTTAATCATTTCTATGCTAATTAGCTCAACAAAAGCCGCGCTAAGCCTCGGTTCACTTTGGATTCCCACCGTGACGGGTCAGGCCCGCCGAGAGCAGCCGCCTCTCTTCCAGGAAATTAAGTTTGAGGTTGTAAAAGAGGAGCATGAAACAACTCCCGGACAATAGTGAGGACATGTGCCGAGAGAAAGGAGATGAGGACGGGTCGATGTAAATCTCCTGAAGAGAGGCAGCGGCACAAAGTGGACCAATCCCTCCGAGGGGGATAGAAAAGATTGAAAGGGTTACAGAAACAGGGACATGTGGTTCAGATGAGGGAGGACGTATAAAGGGTTATAGGTGCAGAGAAAACCCATGTTTGTTCTAAAGGATGCAAGCAACATATTCTCAGGAGTTTTTAACAAGACTTACTCAAATAAAAGTCCCACTGACTCGCCTGAATGTCCACGTAAATATACAGAGGCTTCAAGACACAAACCAATGGACCAATTACTCTGTGGGACATATTTAATTCTTACAGCAGCAGGGACAGCTTTGTGATTCAGTTGTGTCCATGAGAGACGCTACAAGGGGCTTTTCAGGTGGAGAGACACACACTACGCCATGTCTGTTCTAAAGTGAAGCCTGCAAGTTGAAATGCAAACCTTGTGTTTAAAATCTGAATATTCTCAGGAGTTTTTAACGAGACTTAACTGATAACAAGTCCCACTGACTCGCCTGTAACACTCATGAATGTCCAAGTCAATATACAGAGGGATCAAGAC